GCCTCCTTACTGTTTTTCCCGGACACATTCATAATCATAGCTTCTGCGGTGCGCTATTGCAAGCTTTATGAGTGGCTTGAGCTCTTATTAGGCTTTGTAGGCAATTTAAGGCTCATTATAATGATTTAAATGGTTTATTAATAAACGTGCGATTAGTCGACTAATGCTTAAAATGAACAACTACTAGTCGACCAGAATTCTTAGTCGAGGGCAGCCCTAACATGTGTGTGTGTGTGTGTATCCAAATAATCAATGTTGTTATATTTTCCTTAATTTTGATATCCATGTATTCATTTATGATTTATACTTTATTGATTTTTATTTTGTGTTTATGCTTCTTATATTAATCCTCATCGTATTCAAAGATATGTATGTTATGCACATTTTATATATGTATGGAGGATGTATCTTTTTTTTACTGGTGTTTTGTTAGATATTGGACATCTTTCAACTACTGCCTGAGTAATAATGTTTCTTAAAATTATTTGTTAATAGTACTAGACGTTCTGTTGCCGGAAATGTATTTGTAATATAAGATATGACATTTCAAAGTGCTTGTTTTGCTGTATTCCTTCTAAAGATGTGAAAACCGCATAACCTATTTTTAACCGCAACATTTGACTGGTCACAATGACATACTGTAGCCTGACCTGACCTATAGTTTTTACAACAACAGATGACACAATGTATGAGTGACATAATGGAAAAGTCTATTTGACCTTTTCTTATTAAACATAAACACGGGAGGATATAAGTTTCCTGCATATTCCTTGTGCCTACTCTGATCTCTTACTCTTTCTTTTACTTTACTCTTTACTCCTTCTTCTCCCTTTTTCTGCTTCATCTGCTTTTCCTCTCCCCTTGCATTCTGCAGATTCCGTACTTCTTTTGAGCTTTTCTTTTGACTTTCACTACTTCATCTATTAGATACAATACTTAGGAACACTTTGATCTAAATTTTGTTTAAACTTATTTCCTATTACAATTTTCATATTTACTTTATTTTCTTTATTTTTTGTCTTTAGTATTGGACACATAAAGAGACATATAAAATGCCAATTGCCAATTATTTACCACGCACATACTGAATAAGCTGTCAAAGTTTATAAAGATCATAAAGTCATTTACAGTACACATGCAAAAACTGGGGATAGTTATGGCAGTGATGAAAGACCACAGTTTCAATGACATTATCTTACATACATGTATTGTCTCGTACATGCTCTCATTGAGGAGATGCAATGAGAATAAATCAAACTGGTTCAAGGGCCACCTCGACTGTGCTTTAAACCTCTAGCTTTAGTTTTTGGAGCGTTAATCAGCAGGCTGCCAAAGCCACAAATACAATATTCAAGTCATGTACTTATAAAAATTCCTGGACCTTGCTAAAGTGAGTCAATAAGAACCCAATAACCACTTATAATAGTGAATCAGAGATTCCTGCACAGATGAGAGATCCTGCCATAAGGATACCATCAGTGCATGAATCAAGTTTCCATTGTATGGTTTGAAACAAAAGAAGAGTGTGTCAGCCTGTCTGGAATTTGCCAAACAGTACCTTAAATGACTCTGAGACCATGAGGTTCTTTAAGACTAAAATTGATAACTAAAAGCCACATTTTCTCCTGCTCAATTTTCCAGGGATACTCTGGGGATTACTCTCAGCATCAATAATTTGTGAGCTGGTATGAATTGAAGAAAAGAGAGAAATCCTAGAAGAAAACCTATTCCTCAGGGCAAACGTTCACCTTTCGTCCTAAATGTAACCAAACTGCCAAAACCATACCGGAATGGCTATGAAAGAAGTGACTGAATTTATGAGCGTCCCAAAGCACAACCTTGAAATCCAGTGAAAATCTCTGGTTAGAACAGAAAACCACTGGGTATGTTGTGTGTATATACATTGAAAATCATGCATATTTTCTGAACGCATACCCTGATGATCTACTACATTAGCTAAAATTTGCATATTTGCGGTATATAGCAGAGCTCACCATAGGGCTATGCAATCGCATAATGCAAATATTCTTGACCTTCCATTTAATTAAAAATGAACAAGAAGCAATCTTACATCTCAGATCTACTTCATGACTTTTAATTAAACTGCCAAAACAAGTACACTTTTACACAAAAGAGTAACTTATATCCCAACAATGCAGCAAGCTACTGTTTAAAATGTTTATTATTGCATCCTGCATGTATTTCATATACTCTTCTAGGCATATAGAGGGAGAAGGGAAAATAAGAATTCATTAAAAATATACAATTATTTGCATGTGCTGTCTGCCTTGTAATAGCACACAATTCACTAAAGGAATTATGTAAATCAGTTAACAGAGCCCAACAAATATGCTGAAAGCAATTTGTATGGTGCAATTCCCTGTCTTGCAGGTCCGATCTGGAGGATGCAAAACTACTGTGATCAATCATACTCCACTGAGACTGCATCACTCGAACAGAGCAATCCAGGCACCTGAAGTGGCTCCTCAAAGGTATAGTTCACCCAACACAAAAGATTATATTTCGATTTTTATTTTTTATTTTTGTCCACAACAACTTAAAGTCAGTGGCGTCAAAGGCTGTTTTCGAACCAATCGATTTTAACTGTATGGGCAAAAACAGTTCTTCAAAGGAGGTTCTTCTTCAAATGTTTGGAACAACATGAGGATGAGTAAATGATAAAAGAGTTTCAATATTTTTGGTGAACTAGTCACTTTAAAAGGCCAGAAGTACACAGCACATCTTAATACAATTCTCAGCTGATGAATTACTGCTGCCATGATTAAAAGAAAAATTATACAAATATATTTTTAAAATGAAATTCCATTTAAGGCAACATTAAGTGATTACATAGATGTGTTTGCACTGAAAATATTGACAATGACAATACTTATGAGCAGGTTAGACTGTTAAGGTCAGTGAAAGAGTTTATTGCACTTAAAATGGTGTTCTGCACTGTTTATTGACATTTCAGGTACGTCTGAGAGAGCTTAAGAGGATCTAGTAAAGTAAAGGATGAAATTTTAAGGAGCAAAGCTGGTATACCAAATATCGCTAGGAATACTTGAAACTGTAATAAAGGCCAAGGCATTCCTAAAAAGTGATCTAAAATGTATTATTTTCAATTAATTAACCGCTAACTCAAATTCTAAAACACCCATATCCACCAGCAGATAAAGTGTGTGTGGGAGTACTGTGAAATTGCACAGTCAAAAAGGCTAATTGTTTTCTGTAAAGTACCTCAATAGGCATCTACATCTCACTGAAATAAGGTCCAAAGGGCATAACTTTACAATTACCTGTGTAATCGCATGTTTCCTGCTCTGTATTCATCTGCCTGGTGAACAGACTCTCCAGATCATCTCCAAATATGGCAGGCGTGTTTTCTATCAGGTACTGGATGAGCGCTGCGACCTGAACGACAGATGGAAAAACACGAAACACCATCAATATGTAAAACAGACACAGCTGGCCCGCAAACGTAAACGTTGACCGTAGCAGCACATATATCAGAGACTGAAGCCCTGTACAAACCAGCTTGTGAAGTTTACGGCTTGTGTTACGAAATGTTTTAAGAAGATTTGTGTTCTACATTCGCCGGAGCATGTCAGTGTGTCTGAGGTGGACACATTGTGTATGCTAGATGACTGCCACCTTGTTTCTGTCCAAGTTCTAGAGTGTTTAGACATCAGTTTAGAGTTTTCATCACACAGACCGTACGTGACGCCAGTGTGTGTGTGTGTGTGTGTGTGTGTGTGTGTGTGCGCGTCTGGCATGTGCATAGAGATCCTCGCAAAATCCAAAGAATCTTTTACTCCTTACTCATTTCAGATACAAACAAGCCCAAAGGACTGGAAAATTAAAAAGCATAGGCCTATAGAGGGAATGGAATGCTCTGTAGCACTTCCACTGGAACAGTATTTCATACAAACCATAGGGATCTGCGGCTGGCATGCGAAAGGCATCATCGTACGTAGTCCTGGACATGGTGAACTATTCTAACCACATTAACAATTAGTGGTTCACTCAAATAGCCTGCTCTCATTCACCACACATTTGCCTGTGCACTAATTGGCTGGATTCGTTGGGTTTGGACACAGCGTGAGAATGCGCTGCACAAATAATCTGCCATCTTGGGTGTTGAGAAACAAAAGCATCTGCACAGTCACATACATCCAACTGCTCATTATAGATCAATCCATGATTCATATCTCCCTTCGTGTTCTTTTAAAGTCCCCAGGAAATCAAAATGGACCATTCTTGCTTCTGTGAGGAATACTGCAGCATTTATTCCAATTTATCTGTGCACATCATTATTTTTTCAAAATGAAATGAATGTACCAAGGGGGACCAATCGCCCAATCGCAGTGGTTATTGTGTAAATAAAAGCTTACTTGACTTGACATAGCAATTCACCCCTGTGCCCAAGCATGTAAAAATCATTATGTCAAATGAGCAGATAAAGTGAGTAAAAACATCACAATAATCCACAATGAAATCCACACGACTCTATTCCAAGTGAAAAGCTGCGTGTTTGCAATAAACAAATCCATCAAGACATTTTTATCTTCGAACCGTTGCTTCTGGCTTCTTCTATCCACAACGTTTTTCTCCAGTAAAAGAGTTGTCTCATCTGAATCAGGAACAAAATATCCACAGATCAAGCAGCATTTAAAAGCAAACCCAGTCCAAAACAGCTTTAAGCAAATCTGTCGGTGGGTTTTGATGTGCAAGGATGACAGGTGATTAACTTTTTCACGGGAGGAAGAGTTAGTATAGATTATGGACTCATCTTTTGGCTAGAAGGTTTAAAGTCGCCTTAATAACACATTTTTGTATATGTTTGAACTCTCATTTGTTGATGATGGCACCCATTCACTTCAGAGGATCCATTGGTGAGCAAATGATGTAATGTTATGCAAATGATGTATTGTCTTGGTTGACTAGAGGGAAAGTAAATTGTCAGTAATTTTTTCTTTTTGAGTGAACTATTAAAAGACCTTTAAAAGGTATACAGTAGGTTCCATTGTGACAAGTGAATGTTACTTGAAGTGAATGTTACTTGTCAAACAACACACAGGGTTAATTAAGAAATATATATATATAACACTATACACCTGCAAAGCTAAAGACTGCACTTCATTAGCAGGCATGAAGTCAGTTCTTCATTGATTTACTACATCTTGTGAAAGTATGGGAATTCAGCCCACGATTCTTTCTTGTGGCAGTTCTAATCTATGAACTTCCACAACATCTCATGTAATACTAATGGATGTTTTGTCTACAGATGCACATTACATACTTCCCAGAGTGAAACAGAGATTTGATCACAGATGCTATGTTCATCTACACTGGATCAGGCGAATAATGTTAATGAAATTTGTGCACAAATAATATAAATGCCTAGAATTGAATAAAAAACAGCATACGCTCTACTCCAACCCCCTGGTGGGCAGTCAATTTTGTATTTATACTTTTATTTATGTATCTATACACCCTGTCTCATACATGGAGCTTTTTGGAGTCAGAGCACTGGTCTTTATTAGTTTTTAATCATATCCCAGTAAATAAGTTGCTATGGAGACCAGTGTCTAATAACTGTCATCTTTAGGAAACCAGGCATCACATTGTGTTATGCTTTTATTCACAAGGTGGAATTTCATTCACATGTCCTTCACATGCCCGGCATGTACCTTAAATTATTGCAAGGAGTTTAAATGACACACATACTTTAGTATTCCTTTTCCTCACCTTTCTCTCCAATCTCACAACTCTGATGTCAATCATCTCAGGCTCAACCGTGACAAAGCTGAGCTCTGCTCCCTCCCAATTTCTCCCAATCTCATATTCAATCTCTCAAAATCACACAGAGATCACCACATCAGGTCTTTTCATATAGGCTAGTTCCTATACATTAGACTCTGATTGCGGACTGCTGTGCTACCAGTGCCCTGCTGTTATGATCAAACACTAGCAGCAGCTGCCGCCAGCTGTGTATGGTTGAAATGTTTATCCTCTCTCTAACTGAAAAGCTTTTATATCTAGATCAAGAAACTTCTCAGTCTCTGTCACCCCAGTTGATTTTCCCTTTCAATAAATATCTCAGACCTAAAAATGACCTTCCAGCACTTCAGTAAGCTTTTGATTAAAAAAAGTTCTCAGTTCTGAAGTAATACCCAGCCAACTAGATGTTAACTATTAAAATACTATGGTAAATAAACTATAAAAATGGGCTTAACAAAAATGTTTCTTTTTTTATTGTTTGCTAACTAGTAGTTAATTTACTAGTTAATTTCAAGTCACTAGTAAACTAAGTTTATCTTTTTACAAAAAAAAGCAACATATTTTTCTAAATGTCAAAAATGTTTTAAAAGATTTAATTAGAAAATGAAACAATCAAATACACAAATAATCAAAATTTTATAAATCAAAATAATCAGAATTTTTATTTTTGGGGGAACTATCCCTTTAACTGATGTTTGACCGTCAGATCTCGCCATTTTAACAAGCACTAAAAACGCAGCAAGAGTTTGAGTGAGAGATTGTCAGCTGGCCTGACGCTAGCTCTGAGCCATCCTTATTGTTGAGCCCTGCATTCATGTCTGTCTCTGAAGAGGATGACTCATCAGCAACTGTCAAATGATGCAACAGAATATTAGTCAGGAAAATCTGGACATGTTTTTGAATTTTATTGGTCCTGAATACAAAGATGTGGTTTACAAGGAATCTCCTTTGAAATGCAAAATCTGTTCTGCTAATTTTCTGTTACAGCGCTGCAGGGTTTTGCGATCTAATTTGAATTAAGACAGTGTGAACTGGTGTTACAAGGACGTTCATCCTTAATATGAAATGTACATTTTTCCATGTAATATTTTGCATAGTACTGTAAACAAACCTATGATTTATAAATGTATATTTAATAAAATAGTGATGTACAGTAGGACCCCCGAGATTCGAATTCTTAATCATTTCCCTGTTTACATTTGTGTCAACATCCTGTTGATAAGGCAGATCCCTTTGGTTATATCCGATTTTGCGACTGTAAACTGCTGAGGTTAATAAGCAGAGCAAGTCAGCAGCCATTAGATGCATCAGAATTAATTATCTGAAGGGTGGAGAAAATCATTTGCAGCTTTAGGCTAAAAATACTGGTTAAGTCACATCATTATCAGGGTTTCTTTTGAATAATAAACTGTGCACAAACTATTTCTGTGTGATTTACAAATGGAAGTTGGCCCTGGTTGTTGCACCCTTCAGTACCCTTACCAGATGCCGCTTATTTCAAATTCATGTGAGTGTGAGTTAATGTAATCGCTGGGATTTTTCTCCAGCATGACAACCTGTGGTGACAGTGGTATTAAACTGTGCCTCCCCAAGAGCAGGGTGAACTGTTTAAGCGGCATGACATTGCTTAGCAAGCTGGCATGCAAATTAGGATCTTCACCTCTGCAGCACAAAAAAATCCAGAATCCTTTGGTTGATTCTGACCTAGATTTGAACCAAAACCCCACCATTGAACTTGAACTGCTTCTAATTCTGAACAAGAGAATAAGTGTGTGGGTGCAATTAATGATCGAATACATATACTTGTAAAGCTGTTTCAAAGAACAGTTTCCAAATTCTGATATAATTATCCAAGTGATTAGCCAAGTGGCCACTAGCTATATTAAGAATTATTTTCATACCCATGAATTGTCACAGTGATGTAGGTTTTTTGTTTAATTTTAGGTTTATGTCTCTAGTATAGCTATATAGTTCTTAATTCTAATGCTTTTTTTTTTTTTTTTGGTTCACTGTGTCATGATAGGAATCGGTACAATTTCCCTTACATAATCTGTGGGGTTCAAAAGTCTGAGAGCTCACAGAAATCAGGGATTTAAATGTCATTTAAACTGGAAAGTAAATACAATTGAAATCATTAAAAAATCAACAGGTTTTGATGTGATGTAAAATAAAAGAAACACTTTAGATTCTGCATGATTTCGAGATCACTAATCAAATAGGTATTTTTAAGCATAAAATACTTTTTGGATCATTCTCAAATAATGGCAGAGAACGTGATCAAAAATTCTGAAAATAATTTTTCGCCAAAATTGTGCTCTTAATATAATTTGCAATGACAAACAATTTTTACTAGAGGTCTCAGGCTTTTGATCCCCACTGTATATATTACTTTTAACCTAAAACTAAATATTTAAATAAACTGTTCATGGATGTGTTGTATGTTATCCCTTTAAAGAAGTGAGAAAACACATGTAAATGGGTCATTTTACTAAGAATACATGTAACCAGATTTTTACCTGCAGAACGCTCTGTCCCTCTTTGTCAGGGCTGATTTGGGAAGTCCTCCAGAGCATGTTGGGTGCAATGCAAAGGGCCAAGTTTGTTGCTGTCATCTGATTCACCTCTGAGTGAGTGTGTATCCTGTGTAGCACTCCAAATAAGTGACACAGCAAAGTAACATTCTCCTCCGGCAACTGTGCAAGCAAACTAAACAAAAAGACAATAGAGCTTGAAGAATGGCAGATAACTGCAACCAGACAGGCAGAAACATAAAACACATAATTAAATAATCTTGCCAACAAATGATTATGTGCGGAAGTTTGTCTGCCCTCTTATACACATGGAAATGCATTCCAGCACAAATACGCACACACACACACACACACAGACACACACACACACAAAGATAAAACAACAAGTTTCAGTAGATGCAATTCACACTAATGTCACCATGTACAGATTTACAATGTGATAATTTATTCAAACTTGTTCAGAGTTGTCCATTCTGGGCTCCATTATTTTGTAGTGCTAAAAAATACAGTTTCAAACGTTGTCTAGAAGAATGCATAACCCTAACTCTGTCTTTGTAAAATGTAAAATGTGGTTTATACATGTAAAATTGTTACAGTCTATGAATATTTCATTAATGCAATTAATTGGTTCAAACTATACTATTTATGAATAATGAGATTGTTTTCAATCGTCGACAACCTTTTAAGACCGCTTGTTTAAAAAAAAATGATAAATTTGTCACTTGACAAAAAAAGGCAAATAAATAATTTAGCAAATATATAAATTATGGACAGTTATATACATATTCACAACATTTTATAAAGCTTTATGTCATATTACAAATGATTGAGGATAGGGTTAAGTATATATCTATAATATATATTAAGTATATATCTCAAATATATCTGTAAAACTGTAAATGTAGCTATATATGTTTATGATACAAATTATAAATATTTTATGTTTCTATAGCTGTAAATACGTAATACTGCTTATGCTTTAGATGCTGCCAGTACATTCATGTTTTATGATTCAGCATCTACCTATATGCACAAAAAAGTGTTTTTATACCTGTAAATGGCATGTAGGAATGCCTGCAGATCATGAAAAGAGCTATACAAATGAATGTGAATTGAACTGAACTGAATCAAATCTTTAATCTATGCATTTGTTTTGGTAAAATGATATAGATAATATAGGATATAGAAAGGAGTTAATAAATAAAACATGGTCTTAGTCTATACACTTTATACATTGAGTATAGTGTATGTGTGAGCATATGTACAAGACATATGCATGTTTGTATGCTGTTCTTACCATCTGACTCTATTAAGTCTATCCTGTTGATTTTCACTCTGTAGCACTTCCATCCATTCCTCATATAAGTCACAGCACAAAACACCACCAGGCAGTTTGCGTAAAAACTCCTTCACCCAGACACAGACACACACAAACAC